CTTCAATCACCTATGATTTCCTCTTCTAAAACCAGCGAAAATTTGTAACCTCTCCACATTGATAACCATTAAAAAGATTTAAATTCGAATTTGGGTTTTCAAAAGACATTGTTTGTTTGGATTGGATGTTGTTGCAAAGAATTGAGAATTCTCTTTACGTCTCTCTATCTCTCAATCCCAAATTTCAGTAATATAAGAGGAAAGGAAAAGATAGCAGCAATTCCACCATTGACAACCATTAAAAAGCTTTGAAGCTTTGAATTCGAATTTGGATTTTCAAAAATCATTATTTGTTTGGATTGGATGTTGTTGCAAATAATTGGGTGTGATGACCCAAAAGGTCATCACTTGTTTTTAAAATGAATTTTGCATTCCGAAACCTTAAAAACCTCTTTTAGCATCACCTCGATTTGCGTGCGCAGTCCGAACGCGTAGCCGGAAAGCATATATGTGAAAATCTGTGAAAAATAATAAATTTTGGCTATAAAATGAATTAATTTGACTTCAATCAATATTTTGGGTAAACGGACCCGGACCCGTGATTTGACGGTCCCAAGGATCCGTAGGAAAATATGGGACTTGGGCGTATGCCCGGAATCGAATTCCGAGGTCCCAAGCCCGAGAAATGAATTTTTAAAAGAAATTGTTTTTTGAAAAATATAAAGGTTTTTGAAAGTGAAATGTTATGTGAAACTTGATAGTATCGGGCCCGTATTTTGATTCTAGCACTCGGTACATGTTCAATATGATTTATATGTGTTGTCGGTAAAGTTTGGTAAGAAACGAAACCCATTTGACATGATTCGGACCTTAAATGCAAAATTTGATGTTTAAAGAAGTTTTGAGAAATTTCAATGATTTTGATGTTTAATTCGATGTTCATGATGTTATTTTGGTGATTTGATTACACGAATAAGTCCGTATGATATTTTTGAGGTAGTTTGCATGTTTGGTTTGGAGCCCCGATGGCTCAGGTGAGTTTTGGATAGGCCACGGGGTGCATTTTGGACTTAGAAAAATTGCAGATTTCTCAGCTGGTGTATCAGGTCTGCAGGCTTCGCACCTGGCTCGCAAATGCGACCCATCGCAAATGCGAAAGAAGTGGACTGGCAGCCGGAGTCGCAAATGCGACTTCATCCTTGCAAATGCGATTTTGCATTTGCGAACAGCCTCTCGCAAATGCGATGATGGCTGGAAGGCTGATGTATCGCAAATGCGACATTTGTTTCGCAAATGCGACATTTGTTTCGCAAATGCGGAAGTCCAAATTTTCTGAAGGGTTCGCAAATGCGAGCTCTATTTTGCAATTACCAACTTAGCAGAGGTCATCGGGGTTCGCAATTGCGAACCCCTGTTCGCATTTCCCACATCGGCAACCTTCAACTTTTATACTTAGACGAAGTTTTAACCTATTTTCACATCTTTTCAAAACACAAACTCCCTAGGGCAATTTTTCAAGAACAACTCTTCTTCCAAATTGATTGTCAGTTGATTTTAACTCATTTTCTTCAATCATTAACATCTTTTAACATGATTTTAACTCAAAATCAATGATTTTCATAGGGAAAATTGGGTGTTTTGGGTAGAACCTAGGTTTTTCAAAAATTGGGGATTTGGACCTCGATTTGAGGTCCGATTTCAAAATAAATTATATATTTGGGTTCGTAGGAGAATGATTAATCGGATTTTGGTTTGAACCTCAGGTTTTGACCATGTGGGCCCGGGGGCGATTTTTGACTTTTAGGGTAAAACTTTGGGAAATTCATTTTCATGCATTGGAGTTGATTCATTTAGCGTTTATTAATGTAATTGAGTAACTTGTGGCTAGATACAAGCGAGTTGGTGGTGGAATCAAGGGGTAAACGATAGTTGAGACATGAATTGTGTTCGTGACATCAAGGTAAGTGTTTGGTCTAACCTTAGCTTGAGGGATTAGGAGTCGAGTCCTATTTGCTATGTGGTATTTGTCGAGTACGATGTATAGGCATGGTGACGAGTATCTATACGTTGGTATCAAGCATGCCCGTGAGTCTTATATTGTGATTATTATGGCTTTGTTGTACTATTCATGCTTTGTTGATGATTTCTATTGTTGGACAAAGTTTGTGGAAGTAATTGTGACATTTGAACATTGAGGAGTGTTGGCTCGAGTTGTACAATGAAATATGAAAGTATGAGTGGAAATTGAACCTGTTAGAGCATTGGCTCAAAGTTGTGAAGTCAAAGTGAAAAAAAGAAGAGAATCTCTATGCTATCTCCCCGCTAGGAATTTGTTGTTTTTGATGATTATCTCCCTAGCCGGGATTTGATGCTTCTTTGATGTTATTCCCTTGTCGGGGCTTGATTGTTGAACTATTATTCCCTTGTCGGGATTCTTATCATAATTTCATTTATTCCCTTGCCCTATTGTTTGTGATTGTTGTTTGGGTGAGGAAGAGTTTTAAAGCACGAAGGGTGATGCCGTGTATGATTTGTGAGGAAAGAGTGTAAAGCACGAAGGGTGATGCCGTGCCGCACGATGTACCATTCTGTGCCTATTATATTGATTTTATGGTGAAAATGAGAGTGAAAAAATGAAGGGTGATGCGGTGCAGTTTATGTTGATTCTTATGGTGAGGACGAGAGTAAAAGCACGAAGGGTGATGCCGTGCACTTGTCCTTGATTTTCCTGATTCTTGCTGATAATTGAGTTATGTTGTCCTTTACGTTTACTTACTGATTTTCTGTTGTTACTTGATTTTATTTCGATGTTATAGATTCCCTTACGCTATTTGCCTTGTGATTTGTTGCTTGGGTGAGGAAGAGTGTAAAGTACGAAGGGTGATGCCGTGTATTATTTTGGCGAGAGAGTGTTAAAGCACGAAGGGTGATGCCGTGTATTATTTTGGCGAGAGAGTGTTAAAGCACGAAGGGTGATGCCGTGTATTGTTTTGGTGAGAGAGTGTTAAAACACGAAGGGTGATGTCGCGCACTTGTCTTTGATTTCCTGATTTTTACTAATAATTGAGTTATAGTTTCTCTACATTTAATTGCTGGTTTCCTGTTGATACTTGTTGTACCCCGCAACATAATTTTCCCTTCCTATTTTCAATTGAACTGTGGTGATCCTCATACTTATTTGTTGTTCTTCTGTTATTATTCGATGTTTTCTCGCAACATGTTCCCCCCTCCCATACTTGACTGTTTATTTCTGTATTTCTATTCCGCTGTATATATTTGAATTGCACAGGTTATTTGGTAGTCTGGTCCTAGCCTCGTCACTACTTCGCCGAAGTTAGGCTAGACACTTACCAGCACATGGGGTCGGTTGTGCTGATACTAGACTCTGCACTATGTGCAGATCCCGGAGCAGCTCTTGGACCGTAGTTTGGAGGCTACCTTCAGTCCACGCGGAGATCTAAGGTAGACCCGCAGACGTCCGCAGGCCCTGGCGTCTCCTCTATCTTTTATTTCCTGTTTCATCTTTTGTTTCAGAAACAGTGTATCACTTATTTTATTCAGACTTTGTATGTAGTAAATCTTAGACCGTCTGTGGTACTGTGACACCAGGTTTTGGGTGATTAAGGCTTAAGTAATTGTAATAGATACAGATTTCAGATATTTGATTGTTTTCTTATGCTTAATTTAAATTTCCAATGTTTACACGTTATCGCCTTATGTTTTGTTAAAAAGAAATAAGTGGATAAAGAAGTAATTAGATTAAAGGATTGGCTTGCCTAGCTCGTATTAGTAGGCGTCATCACGACTCCCGAGGGTGGAAAATCCGGGTCGTGACATTGGGAATATGGTTTGGAGTTTATATCTCAATATTGAGGGGTTTTGGTGAAGATTATACTTGGTTTTGGCTGAATTTCAGATTGAAACTCGAAGAAGAAGAAGAAGAAGACATGACATACATTATATTGCAGAAATTGTAGAAAAATTGTAGAAAAAATGTATTCTATTGTTTATTTATTTTTCTTTTATTCATTTAACTATTGTATGAAAGTTGAACAATATTGTATAAAAATTGTATTTAAGTGGTATTATATTGTAGTTGTACATAACTTAGTAGAAATAATGTACGAAAATTGTATATAATTTGTAGATAAGTTGTATAATATATAATTAGTTGTATGAAATTTATTTTTACTATGTATAAATCAGATACAAAATATACAAAAGACATATTGTATAAATTTTATATGTAAGTTTTATGTTATTGTGGTTATATTTAACTGGGTGGAAATAATGTGAAAGTTGTAGATAAGTTGTATTTCTTTATAACGGGAGATGTTGGCATATCAAGTAACTTTAGTGTTCCAGACGAACATGCATGAAAATAAAGATAAATTCTGTTATGAACATTTTGTAGAAATTTTGTAGAAACATTGAAATTCTGTATCTTTATATTAATTTTTCAAATGATATGTAGTTTTATTGTAGAATAAATGTAGAAATTTTGTAGATATTGTGAAAATCCATACTGATATATATATTTACTCTGACATATAGTTTATTTGTAGATAAAATGTAGATAAAGTGTAGGACATTTATATAAAACCAGAATTTGATATAAAATGTAACAGCACAAACATGCAACTGTGTTCTCATTGGTGATACTCAATTTCATATTTAAATCGCGAACAGTTATACATAGCGGATATGATCCTAAGTTTTTGTTTTTTCAACTTTCATACGATAGTTAAATGAATAAAAGAAAAATAAATAAACAACAGAATACAATTTTTTTTATAATTTTTGTAATATAATGTATGTCATGTCTTCTTCTTCTTCTTTGAGTTTTAATCTGTAATTCAGTCAAAATCAAGTCTAATCTTCACCAAAACCCCTTAAAATTGAGATATAAACTCCAAACCATATTCCCACGGAAAACGGGCAACAAAAAGAAAGAAAAAAAAGCAAACAGAAAAGAGAAAAAGAAAGAAAATTTGTCCGCAAATGATGAAACACGTGTCAATACGAAGCAGCTCGAATGACCAAAATCCATGGCTGCCTAGTAAAAGTAAAAAGGAAACTCGAACTAACAGTAATTCAGTATTCATTTCTAGAACCCAACAGAAGCACACCCTTCATCCCCCAGCCTCCGGTCTTCACCCAGAAAATGGTAAGCAAATTATGAATTGGGCTTCATTCCTTTTCATTGCATGAAAATTTCAGTGCTTAATTGTCTTTGCTATGATATTTGTTCTTGAAAATGATCTTAAGAATTTCAAGAATCGCTTTGTTAGTTGACATACCAATTAGAATCCTGTGGTCTTAAACTAAAGTCTTGTACATACCAAAAATACTTCTGAATCTTGCAGTCTTAAAAATAACATGAAAATTTATAAGTGAATCTCATTAAGGTAAAATAAGAATGAGGAATTAAAACTTGCTAAACATAGAAAGAAAACTAAAAAGAAAAGTAAGACATATAAATTGAAATAATGGAGGAAATAACACTTTGGCTTTATGCTCTGTACAAATAAGATTAGAATTGTACTTTGTCCAAATAATTTCTGGGATATCTGCAACATTATCTGTGACTTGTCAACCAATGTAGATTTACATGTTTATTAATCCTAAATTCTTTGGCCATTTTGTATCAAAGCAATGAATCCTTGTAGTTTATGCCAGTAAGCTTGTGGTCAAAGGCGGAGCCAGGATTTGAGGTTTATGGTAACTGAACTTGCGACCGAACCAGTAGTTCATGTCACAATCTTTATAGCAGTTGAGCACATGCAGTAGTAATGAAACTGTTTTTTGAAAGTGCGATTTTCTCTCGGGGAAATGGGAGCAGCCTTGGGTTTGTAGCTTAAATTGTACACTTCCTAATGAGTAGTATTTTCACGGCTTTAGATTGTGGCAGAGCCACATCGCTCCAAGGGGTGTCAATTGACGCCCCTTCACTGGAAAATTATACTGCTTGGATAGGTAATTTTCTTTTGTGTATATATTATGTGTTGAAGCCCTTGATTTCTTCGTATATTTAATTTTTTATATTTTGGCACCCTTTAGTGAAAATTCCTAGCTTCGCTACTGGTTTTAGGCAAGTATCTTTTTTAACAGGGTGAAAAATGTTGTATAATGATTTTCCATAAAAACTGTGCCTTTTTTGTTACCCTTTAAAATAATATTTATTGTGAACCAGAAGCAGAGATTGGTTGCTTCAAGTGAATATAATTGAGTACAAACATAATTTACTGCTCTAGTTCCTATACCTAGTGGAAATTGTACTTATGAACTTTGATAATACCGCCAGACAACACCATTTTTTGCTGGGCTTGCAATAGCTGCTGCAGCTCTTGCTGGTAGATATGGAATTCAAGCTTGGCAAGCATTTAAGACTAGACCCCCTAGAGTTCGGAAATTTTATGGAGGAGGTTTCCAGCCTAAAATGACCAAAAGGGAAGCAGCTCTTATCCTTGGAATTAGGTAAGCGCTAAATATTCATAATGATTTGTGTAGTCTGTTAACCAAATGTTTCTGCTTATTCACTCGTACCATTTGGGGCTCCAGTTGCCCCTGAACCTGCCTAGGATTGGTGGAGTAGGGAATAGGAATAAAGAAATTTCTTGTCACCTCTCACACGAAGACTGTTTCCGTTGTTTCTCTATAATATAGTCTTACATGTTAAGAAACAGCAACAGAACTGAGGGGAAAAACAAGGCATGAAAGTGTTATGGATCTAGGTGTTCTATTTATAAAGATTTGTATTAGTAGATGCCTAGCAGATCCTCTTGGTCTTACTAATTTTATCTTAATAAAGTCGGAATGTGTTTACATATGTTTGTTAAGTTGAGTAATATTTTCAGCAGACTATAAACAATTATCTTGTTCCATCTGAAGCGGAATATCTATACTTCTCACTGACCGTAGTAAACACAGCCAGTGCTAACAAAAGGTTATTAAAGGGATTGAAATTGATCCTGTTGGACTTTAAGCCATTGGGCTTTAAAAGAGAAGAAGTGTGAATTGGAAATGGAGGGAAAATGAAAATTTGAAGAAGTGAACTTTTGTCTTGCACTTTGTCCCTCATTGGTGAGGGACAATCACATTTATGTGCTTATATATAGATTCACTTCTTAAAGCTCTTAAAAGGAGTTGAAGAGAATGAACCCTCGCGCCGTCGTCGTCGCTCGGCTTCGGCTTCGGCTTCGGCTTCGGCTTCGGCTTCGGCTTCAGAGGGCCTCACTGGCCGCGGTTCTGCCGCGACCACGGTAGAATCGCGACAGTCAGATTCAGAGAAGCTCTCTGGCCGCGATCGCGGTAGAACCTCTTCCAGACACCTCTTCTGATATTTGCCTATAAATTATGAGGCAAGACTGCATANCGCACAAGAAAATTGTGGACTCGGAAAATTTCTGATTCTTTACTATTTGATATATTTCTTTATTTTTCTAACAGTTTCCTGAATTTTGTTTTAACTCAGTAACGTTCACAGATCCATCTTAAAAGGTAATATGTGTTGGTGAGAGCTTTTCACAAGAAGTAAATTTGGAGTAAGTTTGAAACTTAGGGATCAATAGCTGAAAAGTCCGCAAATAGAAAAGTGCCATGAAGAAGTAACGCATGACTTGCATTCGTCATTTCTATGCGATGGTATCAAATTTCTAAATGGTTGCTTCTGATGCCATTCTAAAAATAATTGTGAAGCAGTAACCCGGACTCTATTGTAAAACTGTGAGAGCCATATGAGCATGGAGCAGAGTTTCGAAGAAAATTTTCCAAACTCTGTAAATTTCTGAAGTGAGAGAGAGAGAGAGATTACATTAGCAACAGCCTTGGATGACTATAGAAGCTTCCGTCTTAGCTAACATCTTTTTGGTGGAAATAATTCCAGGCTCCATCCGTTTCACAAACATTGATTACTAGCGTCCTCTAAGACTAGAGGTTATCTACATTTTTTATCGACATACAAATCTCCAAAAACTAAAAAGGCTCTCGTAAAACACGAGGCTCTCATTTGACTTTTTATCCATTGATCATAGAACTAACTAATGAGTTCATAATTTTGAAATGTCTTATAGAGAGGGTGCTCGGCCAGACAAGGTTCGAGAAGCACATAGAAGGGTTATGATTGCAAACCATCCCGATGCTGGTGGCAGCCATTATCTTGCTTCTAAAATCAATGAAGCTAAAGATGTGATGTTAGAAAAGACGAAAAGCAGCGGATCTGCATTTTGATTCTTTGGGATATTACTTCCAGGTATGACCAATGTTCATATCGACGATAATCCTACTAGATTTAAATCTTGATGGCACATGTATTGACAACTCGAAAAAGAACAAGGTGATGGACTGTGATCAGCTTCAGCAACTGTGCAGAAAGTGTCGCCCTTTTGTAAATGAGCTTGGTGGTGAAATCAACAGAAATGTATAGTTATTTGTAACATTCTTTGATTTTATAAAGTGATTGTTATTTGTGCTCTCTAGCTCCTTCATGGAAAATTTGGAGGGAGTGTAGTTTCTATTCTATAAATGTCCCTAGCTGGGATCAATTCAAGCATAGTTGAAACTGAGAATTGAAACTTCTAGGTTGTTCTTTAATCGGTAAGATCTTTAGAATTTAAGTGTGTTGATCACACCCAACAACACTCGAATAAAATACGTTAAGCGGTCACTGCAGATGTAATCTATCTTACGAGTCCATGATCAATTCCACAAAGAATATCAGTCTAGTTATTTGCCACAAGGAGGTTGTGAGTTCGAGTCATCCCAAGAGTAAGGTGGGAAGTTCTTGGAGGGAAGGATGCCGAGGGTCTATTTGGAAAAAGCCGCTCTATCCATGGTAGGGATAAGGTCTGCGTACACACTACCCTCCCCAGATCTCACTAGTGGGATTATACTGGGTTGTTGTTGTTATTATTTACTACAAAGAATATCAGTCTAGTTAATTCCTAAGTTATCAAGCTAGTTGATTTTGTATTTTCAAATAATAAAGATAAATACTGAATACAATTAAAAAAAAATAGTAATAAACAACCTAAGGTAATGAAGCCCCCAATTATCATCAAAATAATATGGCATAATCATTTTTATGGGCGGTTATTGAAAATTAGTCAGTATTTATAAAATTATTAGAAAGTAGCCACTATCTAATGAGGAGATAGAATCTGGACAAAAGTATCCTAGCTAATATGCTGGATTACTGAACACCTATGTATAAATTTTTAGATATTATGTTAGAACTCTAGCACATTATGCTGAAACCATATATGTAAAAAGTTCGAACTTTACATATTATGTTGTGTTATGAAATAAAAGCAATTTAGTAAAACATGAACAAGAAATAGAGATAGAGAGAAGGAAGAGATTTTCTTCTTCAATTGTGTGTATTTTCCTATCTATTACAAGGCCTTTATATAGGCATGAAAAGTGAAGAAAATATGTCATGGAATATGTCATTGAACATAGAAAATATGTCATTGAATATGTCATTAACCATTTGAGAGAAAGATCATGGAGGAAGAGTAGACATCCACCATATTTTGATTTTTATCATAACACTCCCCCTTGGATGTCCATAAATAATGTGCCTCGTTAAAACCTTATTAGGAAAAAACCCTATGGGAAAAAAATCCTAATGAAGGAAAAAGAGTACACATATTTAGAAATACGCCTTTTGGTTGCCTCGTTAAAAACCTTGCAAGGAAAACCCAATGGGACAAAACCTTGTAAGGGAAAAAGAGTACAACGCGTATTAACTCCCCCTGATGAGATCATCAGTTCACATCGTTGAGCCTTCGTATCCCAATCTTGTACACTAGTTTCTTGAAGGTTGACGCCGGTAGATATTTGGTGAACAAATCAGCCATATTATCACTTGAACGGATCCGTTGCACATTAATATCACAATTCTTTTGAAGATCATGTGTGAACAATAATTTAGGTGAAATGTGCTTTGTCCTAACTCCTTTATCAATCCTCCCTTCAATTGGGCTATGCATGTTGTATTTTCTTCATACAAAACTGTGGATAGTTTATCACACTTCAAACCACATTTGTCTCGAATAAGATGTATAGTAGACCTCAACCATACACATTCTCGACTTGCTTCATGAATAGCAATTATCTCAGCATGATTAGAAGAAGTAGCCACGATTGATTGCTTAGTCGATCGCCAAGATATGACAGTGCCACACATGTAAACACATAACATGTTTGAGATCAAGCCTTGTGTGTGTCAGATAAATACTCCACATCGACATAACCAACAAGATCGGTATTGCAATCATTGCCATAGATAAGCCCACATCGGTAATCCCCCTTAGATAACGCAATATGTGCTTGATTTTATTCCAATTTCTCCTTGAGCGGAGCTATATCTTGTTAAGACATTAACTGAAAAAGTTATGTCATGCCTTGTAGTGTTAGCAAGATATATTAGCGCACCAATTGCATTACGATATGGTACTTTAGGACCAAGAAGCTCTTCATTATTTTTATGAGGTCGGAGTGGATCTTTATTTATATCGAGTAATCTCACAACCATCGGGGTACTTAATGGATGCGCTTTATCCACATAGAAGCTCTTTAAAATCATTTTAGTGTATGCTGATTGAAGGACAAAAATTCTATCTTTCATATATTCAATTTGTAGACCAAGACAAAATTTTGTCTTTCCAAGATCTTTCATTTCAAATTCTTTC